TGGAGAACCGCTTGGAGGAGGTGAGCGGCGAATTGCGCGAAGTGCGCAAGCTCCTGTCCCAGCTGGTCGCACGGTCTGGCGACGTCCAGTCCCTGCAGTCCGGCTTTTCGTTTGTGCCATCCGGCGTGGCCGGACGCGAGGCACGAACTCCTGGACCTCAAAAAGAGCCTGCGAAAAAATACGCAAACCAAAAACATGATCCAAAGCAACCCAATAGCGAAGAAGCGATGGCCTCCAACCTAATAGCGATGGCCTCCAACCTAATAGCGATGGCCTCCACCTGCGAAGTCTAGTGCTAGTCCCTTGATATTCTCTGCATCAGACATGACACTTCGTGACATTTCTTTCTTCAGCTGATAGACAATATAGCTGATAAACATAGAAAGCTGCGCGCAGAATTGATACTCCGTGGCACCCTCTGTGCTTCCCACGCATGGTACACGCTCTGCCACTAAGGGCGCGCCTGTGCCGGTTCCGGTGAGGGGCCCCAAACAGAAAGGCGTGCGTCATTTTGATCTGGGAAGACTTGATGCAGCCCCGCCCCCCTACTATGGCTGTTTGGGTCCAAGCTTTGGGGGCCTCTCAGCTGTTTTTCATTTTATCACTCATGTGGATTCGATTTGAAGGCTATGGGCTATGACTGGGGAGCACAGCAACTTTGATCCAGAAAAGGCTCACCCTGGGGGCACTTCAGGATCGTGCCTTGTTTTCCCACAGCCCATATCTCCCCGAAAGGTTAGTCGAGGACTAAACCACGGCGAACGCAATTCCTGCCACAGGTTTTAAAGTCTGGTGTTGGACTTGTGAGGATCACTATATACTATATACACATAAATATTGCATATAGATATAGACCGTATACCCGCCCCCTTTGCTGGGCTGATGTGCCTCGACCGTCCAGGTCAGTGTCAAGCCCTGGCCACCACCGCAGGCTGGGCGGAGAGTCGGAGTATATAGACCTCTTGGTGAAAAGCAAAGCAAAGAATTTCCATGAGATGGAGGGTCTCTGTGAGAGCTCAAAACAACCCACTTCTGATTCTCACTTAAAGCTATGGTCTCGAGAAAACCTCTCATGAGGTATTCAACAAATAAATCCACACCAAACACGAATCCTTGGAGAATCGTCATGGTTTAAAGTTTAAAGCTTAGAGTTGTTCCTATGAAGCACCATACCTTCACTGAGTCTCAGGCGGAGCATCGGAACAGTAGCTGCCACGCCTTCCAGACCTGTGCGCAGGAGCGACGGTGGTGCTCTGTTCTCGAACAGGGTATCCCTTTGTTCCTAGTAGCGTCCTTGCTCCTAGTAGCGATGCCCTTTGTTACTTAATATATAATTACTCTGCCCAATAGGCCATTTGCAGTTTGGGGTCTGCATGGTGCTGAGGTGATTGGTTGGAAGATCTGTTTGACGGTGCTCAAGCCAAGGTTCCCTGATTATTCGGAGTAGCGCTCATTTCCTTCCTTGCACAGAGAGCTTCCTCCAAGAGCAGTGATTCCACGGTGGAGTTGGCACAGCCTCCGGACGTCTTGGAGGGTTGAAAGGGTTTCTGCATCGTGGGGCCTGCGCGGCAGGAGCGCCTTGTGGGTGAGTGCTGCCCCAACGCGGCGACTTGGCTGAAATCCGAGCAAAGTCTATGTGGGAAGTCACTGGAGAGACACTAATAGCTTCTTGTTACTACTAGCAAGGCACTTGTTACTAGTAGCGATGCACTTGTTACTACTAGCGTGGCACTTGTTACTACCTCTTCATGTCTTTTTTCGGTGGGAAATCGCTCTGCTTTGCTCTGTTCAGCAGATGGCCCGGTTTGAACCCGTGGTTGAGGAGATAGCTTGGTTTATGGGAGCCCACACCAAACCTGCCGAGCTCGTGAACGCCGAGAGACTTTGATTTACCGTTGGTTGGGGTGGGGCGCCACACTCTGACCGATGAATCTGAGCCCTGAGCCCTTCTGCCGAAAGCACCAACCCGTCAACGGGCAGGAAGGAGTGATGCTCAGTTGTTGCACAGCTTCGCCCCGGGTCGAGGCACCGAAAGCAGGGGACGCTCGGAGTTGAAACCCCGGGGCACGAGGTGCATGGCAGAACATATGAATTTACGCAGAACATATGAAGTTTTGACCCAGAATCCAGACTCTGTGCTTTTCTTGAGCATGTGTTTGGACGGATGGAAGGCTGCGTGAGAGTACGATGCAGTTGCCTTCGAAAGGTGACCCTGTTGCGAACTCCAGACTTGTTGTTTCAGTTCTCCGTTTCAGTTTGCGCCTCTACTGCCCGCCAAAGACAAGGTCGTTTGTTTCCTGGACACCTGCGGGTCGAACACGTCTGTGAACCTCATAGCGATGGCCCCCAACCTCCTAGCGATGGCCAGCGATTGATGGCCTCCAACCTAAGAGCGATGGCCTCCAACCTCATAGCGATGG